TGCAAGACCACGGCTGTGTGTGCCCTGAACCGGAAACGAGCTGGTGTGATGGGCTGGTTAGCTCTCCTGTGGACGCCAGCCCTCATAAAGGGCTCCGTGGGAGCTCAGCTGAAAGCTGTTTGCAGCAGCTCCATTCAGCAGGTAGGAGATGACATTTTCCAATTGTTCACATAGTCGCAGGCCTGGAAGATATGCCGTACATGGTGCTAGGAGAGGAGGAACAGAGCCCCACCACAAAGAACTGGTTAAAAATTTAAAGCACTGTTTCCCTTCACCAGCTGGCTGGCATTAAGGCAATTTCCAGAATTTGCAGCCAGTCCCTCCCGCAGGGCAGAGAGATGAGTAGGCCGGGCAGAGCGGCGACACTACCCGGGGCCTGATGTGATACCCAACCGCTGCAGGAGTGGAGGAATGGACTGCAGAGGGGAAATAAAATGACCAGGTCGGAAGGAACAGTGGGCAGCCTATTCTGAACACATCGTCCTTACAAAGCCTTCAGAGGTTTCCTGAACGCAGCTGAAAGAACAGGGTGGGAAGGCGCGTGGGTAAGAGCTCCTGCCACTGGTGGGACCAGCCTGCAGTCAGTGGAGGTGGTGTTAGGCGGCAGCAGGGCCTGTTCCTCCGCACAGTAGAGCAGGCCCTGCCCATCCTCACAGCCATTGTTCCAGCTCCCGGTTACAGACCCTCATTGAAGGACTTTGCCTCTCTCACTGACTCTCTACCAAGCAGAATGTTCTTCTGCAGGGAGCTCTGATGGCCTAGTGGGAAGAAGCGACCCTGAAGGCACGCAATTCAAATGCACCAGCTTGCTCTTCGAGAGAAGGAAGGATGGGCGGTCTCCTCTCATGCGATTAAGAGCCTCTGAAAACCTGCTGGAGGGTCAGCTGTGGGTTGGTTCCCACTTGATGGTTCTCCTTTACGTTGCTCCTTTAGGAGGGAGCTCTGGTGGCCTTGTCCACAGTACTGCCATCCCAAAGGGGGCGCCTCTCTGGCAGGTGGGATCTACCAGCTATTGTGAGGGGAAAATGGGCTAACTTGACTTGAGTGATTTGCAGCCTGCCACAACCCTGCTGGGAGGTCTGTTCCAGCTTAATGGCAATGAGTAAGCGATTCCTTTAAGGAATCCTGGTGATGTAGTGTGCATTATGTGTTGTTGCTACTAACCAAAAGGTCATCAGTTCAAATCCACCTGCTGCTCCGTGTGAAAACCATGGGCAATTTCTTCCTGAAAATCTATAGAGCCTCAGAAAGTGGACGGAAGGTCACGGAGAGCCAGGATCTGCCTGAAGGCGTGTTTGGTTTATTATCCCCTCAAATGAATAAACAGCAGCAACAATGATAAGGAAACAAAGGTCCTCTGAAGCCCCTTCCACGCAGTCAGTCCAGCTGCTTTCAATATGCATCCCTCTCTCCCCTGAATTACATGTCACTTACCAAGCTTCCTTTTAATTCCTCATTTGCTCTAAAAGAAATGATTTGTATCGACTAGCAGTATAATCCAGGTATTTAGGAGCCCTCGCTCACCGCGGTGCTTAAATTGAGATATGTCTTGAGGTCCATATTTGTAAATCCCATTTCTGAGAAACAGTAATAAGTAAAGCAGAAGATTGAAATAGAATTTTTGTTAAAGGACTTTAGCAGGAAAGCCATTGTGTGTCAGTCCGATTGTATGGAAGAGAATGTGAGTTTACGTGGGGAAAGCCAGCTTACTGTGACCCAGCCTGCAGATGTGGACGCTGAGAGCAAGGGCCGCCTCTGGGAGACCCAGCTCTCCAGAAGACGGCATCTGCCCAGCTGGAAGGTGGGTGACTGAGTGACCTCACAAGGTTTGTTAGAAGCAAGACCTTGGAATGCTATCGAGAAATGTGTGTGTGTGTGTGTTGACATCCAGTCCTCGTCCTTTTGGAGGGCATAGTAGGTGACAATCACAGTGCTGCCGTCCACAGGCTGCACATTACAGGAACAGATGGCCTCGCTTTCCTCTTGCCATCCTGCCAACAACCCAACACTAAATGCACTACGCCACCAGGGCTCCATAGCCCAAAACTAACCCATTACTATAGAGTCCATCCCAACGTACAGTGCTGCTCCCTTGGGTTTCCAAGGCTGTAAATCCTACCGGAGGGGGAACTGTTGTTCTTTCTCCATCAGAGTAGCTGGCGGCTTCAAACTGATGGCCCTTTGGTTATTAGCAGGGCAACACATAATTCACTGTATCACCAGAGCTCATAGCAAATGCCAAAGTTCTTTTTCCCTCTGTTTTTGTGTACTGTCAAGTTGGTACTGATTCGTAGCCTACCCTCCAGTGGGTTTTTCGAGGCTGTAAATCACATGAGACGAGATTTAAGAGGCCGTAAATCATGTGAGAAGAAAGATGCTCCTCTGTAGAGCAGCTGATGGATTTGAACAGCCTGCCTTTGAGTTGGCAGCACAACTCCTTATCTATTTTGTAACCAGATATTCTGTAAGATTCTTTAAGTTCCTGGCCACTTGATTCCGACTCACGGAAGCCTCTTGTGTCTCACAGTAGAACTGTGTGCAGTCACATTGTTTTTGTTGTTGTTTACCGTCAAGTCAGAACTGACCCCTCGCAGACCCTCCAGGAGGTTTTCAGAGGCAGTTAATCACACAGGAGGAGACTGTCCATCCTTCTCCCATGGAGTAGCTGGTGGCCTCGAACCGCATGCCTTTGGTATTGCAGCACAGCTTTTTGCCACTATCAGTAGCTAATTCACATGTCAGAAGAAGAATTGATGCCTTGGAGTTATGGTTCTTTTTTTTATTAATATTTTTAAAAATTTATTTTATTTCCTTATTTTTTGTGTGTGTACCATCAAATCATATCTAACTGGTACAGGAGGAGATTGTTCCTCCTTCTCCAGCAGAGCATCCGGTGGATTCGAACCATGCATCTCTGAGATTGCAGTTGCAGCTTCTTGCCACTAAGCCACCAGAGCTCGTCTATTATTATTTTTGTGTGAGTGTACCGTCAAATCAGATCTGACTGGTACAGGAGGAGATTGTCCCTCCTTCCCCAGCAGAGCATCTGATGGATTCGAACTGTTGCGCCTCTGGGATTGTAGTTGCAGCTCCTTGCCACTAGGCCACCAGAACTCCCCATGAGTTATGGTTCTTAAGACAAGCATTGAATATACAGACCATGGACTGCCAAGAGAACAAATGGACTGTCCTGGAGAGGGTAAAGCCAAGTTGTTCCTTGGAGGCAAGGGTTTTGAAGCTCTGTCTCATATACTGTGGGCACAGAGGGACCAATCCTTGGAGAAGGACATCATGCTTGGAAGGGTGGAGGGACAGTGCGGGAGAGGAAGACCCCAGATTAGTCACGGGGGTGAAGGGGGTAAGTGTGTCTGAGTCAATGAGATTGGCTCAGAACAGGACAGGGTTCAGAGCTATTGTACATAGAGTCACTGTGAGCCACAGGCAACTCAATAGCACGTAACAACGTCGACAGTTCAGATGAAGATCACCAGGCCTTTCTTCTGCGGCACCTCTGGGTACACGCAATCATCTAACTTAGTTAACAGCCATGTGTGGACCGTTTGGACCTCCCAGGGCCTCCTTCACGTGGACAGAACCTTACATATCCCCGGGCTTGGTGTCCTTCACTTGCACTGATCATCCCGGCTCATCCGCATTGCAGCATCCATCAGAATTTAGTCTGTGTCATTGAGTCCGATTTTTCCATCAGACCAAGGACTGAGCTGGGCTTGCACATGGGTTGCTGATGGGGTTACATCATTCATTCCTGTGTTGAAAGTTTCAATTATCTTGCTTTTAACAATATAAATGTGTCTAAGTGGTTTCCATAGTGATTTCCGTCTGGAAGGCTGTCTTGTCTGTACAAAGGAAGAGTGAGAACCCTGGGGTGCGGTATCCAGGTTTAGTGGGATCCTTCCACAATTAGGGGCCACTGTACAGAAAGTCAGTTGGGGCAACTGGGTTGGTCCCGGTAAGATTGGCTCAGGATGGGGCAGGGCTCGGAGCTGTTGTGCATAGGGTCACAATGAGTTACAGTGAACTGATGACACTTAACACCAACCTTAGAAAGAGATTAGATGTCAAGGTGAGGCCGTGGAGGGAGCTCATGGAAGTAAGGGTACCTGGAGCTTCAGGTAAAGCCGGCTGACCCCAGCTGGTGACCGTGGGAGACAGTGGTGGTTCAGGTGGATAGCACCCACTCCCATGAAGGAGAGGGTCAGCGGAAGACTGACACTGTGACTCCACCAGCAGGTCAAACACAGCCGAGTGAGGATGGCGGGACCGGGCAGCGTTCTGGTCTGTAGGGTCACTAGGAGTCTGACTTCTCACGCCAGCAACATCGAGGAGACCCAGGTTCACGTCCCAGCCTAGGTACCTCACGCATAGCCTCCACTCTGCAGTCTGCAGAGACTTGTGTATTTCTCTGATGTGGAACAGATTTCAGCAGATTAACAGAGACTAGGAAGAAAGGTCTGGTTTCTGAAAATCATCCCCGGGAAAATGGATCACAGCACAATAGTTGATCTGCAGCTGACCCTGGGGATAGGGCAAGGCCAGGCCATGAAGTCCTTTTATTCCTTGTCTTATGCATGTGATCACCATACTAGGGATACACTGGACTGGGGGGCCAGTGGTTGAAGAGATGGACATCCAAGCCAGCAGCAGGGAGTGAATGACCAATGCTGGCACTGGCCCTGACCTAAGTTTGTCATTCTAAGTTTGCATGGTCTAGATTGGCACTTTGTGTCTACCTGGAGTTCCTTTGGAAGAGAGGCCTGGTAATCTTTGGAGAGGCCCCAGGCTTGAACATCTCTGGTGCACAGTTCCAGTCTGCACGATGGGGCCACTGTGACTCAGACTCTACTCAGAGGTGGTGTCGTCAGGTCACACTGTACCCTGCTGTGAACACAAAATGTGATGCTTAGTCCTGTGGAGAAAGTGGGGAGGGACAGTGGCCTTGGGCGCTCCTCCGTCAGGCTGACCGATCCTTGTCCCCCCAGGTGTGGCTCTGTGGTGGCAGCATGGAGGTCCTGCCCTGCTCCCGGGTGGCCCACATCGAGCGGAAGAAGAAGCCGTACAACAGCAACATCGGCTTCTACACCAAGAGGAATGCTCTGCGCGTGGCTGAAGTCTGGATGGACGACTACAAGTCCCACGTGTACATAGCGTGGAACCTGCCGCTGGAGGTACAGCTACCTGCCCTCCCCCAGCCCCAGCCCTGCCCCCTGGAAGAGAGAGCCTTCCTGTTTCAGGGGTGCTTCTCAGAGAAACTGTTGCTCATACTTGCTGTTTTAGGGGTCTCTGGAGAAACAAAACCAAGGAGAAAGACAGACAGTTGTTAAGATAGCTAGGTAGATAGATTTCTGATGGATACTAGGTAGATTGACAGATGATACATATGTTAGCTAGACAGATGATATGTAGATATTATGAAGATGCCTACCCACCTTGGAAATAGTGTAGGTTCGTGGCAGTAAAGTGAGTATCGTGAACATCACAATCAGATGAGTCATGTCAATTTGTTTATTTCTTTCTTTCTCCCTGCATAGAAAATTATGTTTGCACTCTGCTATAATCAGATAGGAGCCCTGGTGGTGTAGTAGGTTAAATGTTGAGCTGCTAACCAAAAGGTCAGTGGTTCAAACCCACCAGCTACTCCCCAGGAGAATCATGGGCATTCTGATTGCAGGCTCAGAAACCCAATGGAAGGTCACCATGGGTTGTAATCAACCCAACACGATGGATTTGGGGGCTGGTTGGGGGGGCGCTTGTAGTCTATTAAGTGAGCAATTGCATTAGGGAAAAGTCTGACATGCTGCAGGAATAAACGGAATGGGATACAGATATGCATAGGGAGCCCGTGCTATTGGAGAAAAGACCTTAGGAAATTTGCTTGACACAGATCTGGCCTCCACAAACCTTCCTTGTCTTTAAAAAGATAGATAGATAGATAGATAGATAGATAGATAGATAGATAGATAGATAGATAGATAGATAGATAGATAGATAGAAAG